GGACAGCAGATGGGTCCCCAGGGCCAGGTAAACTCACAAGGCTAGTCTGTGTGTCTGGAGTTTTCAACATGTATCCCTGAGACCGGAAACCATAGAGCTCAATTTTCCTTGAAGTCTAATTAATTCTGTATTTAAGGAAACTAATGTTTGGCAGGGGCTTGTGAGACAATCTCCCTTAATTCGTGCGAGCATTGAGCAGCTAACTGCCAGAGAAGAGACACAGCAGGGAGACGAGATTGCTATTATCTGCCCTCACTCCAGGCCCGGCCACCAGCTGACTGTCCTATTTGCTGCTCTCTTTCTTCTGGATATAAATGCCAAAGTAACACTGAGGAATGTCTTATAATTGGATCACCATCATAGTAATGCGATGGTAATAATAACAGTAATAATAGCAGCTTACATTTGCATTTTGAATGTTCCAGAGAGCAGGATTAAGCTTACTTGACGCCCTTTAAACATGCCATGTAGGGGTGGGGTGTTGTGGCAAAGTGGGTTAGGATGCCACTTGCGACACCCATATTCCATATCGGAGTGCCTGATTTGAGTCCCAGCCTCCCAATACTTCCCATCCAGCCTCCTGATGATGTGCCTGGATGCCAGAGGCTGATGGCCCAAGTGCTTGGACTCCTGCCACCCACTTCGGAGACCCAGACGGAGTTCTGGGCTCCTGGCTTCAGCCTTGCCTTGCCCCAGTTACTGTACGTCTTTGCGGTATCAACTAGCAGATGAAAGATTTCCATATCTATGTTTCTTTCTGTCTCTCCTCTCTGCCTTTTGATTAACATTTTAAAATAGCAGAAGAATATTTATTTGAAAAGCAGAGTTGCAGAGAAAGAGGGAGAGAAAAAGACTAACAGAGACAGGCTCGTTGCCCCTCATTCTCACGTTGAATGTTGAAATTCTTTGTGGTTCATCGCGAGCACATGGGCTCATGAATGATATGCAGAGTCTCACAGTATGCCTTTTAGATGCTGCATCTACTCCCCACCATGTGGTTTTTCCTTTTAAGTGGTTTGGATGATACTGGGAATTGTCCCATTCAGAATGAATAAATTTAACCATTGAGTGATAGTCATCTAATGTGATCTCAACTCATCTGCCTGTTGGCGTCCAGTTTTGTGAAGCAAGAACGGTGTGCCCTGCCTACAGGATCTCTGCTCGGATGACATGATGATGAAGGGAAAAGAATTCTGAAAATGGGCAAGAATCAGATGCCAGGCACAGAGACCACAGCCTCCTAGTAGCAGTAATGCCATCGTAGAGAAACTGAAGACATGGGAGTTTCTTTGACAAGGCGTGCTCCATGTGATTCAAAGCCAAATCTTCAGCCTTCCTGATATGAATCCCCTTCTGTTGCTTACTTTGCTACTTTGCCTTTAAGGGATTGGGAGTCCATTTTCAACCAGGCTCTGAAGATTTGATTATGGACATTACTGTCGCAGGCCATCTGGTGGTGCCGTCATCAGAGACAAGCAATGTCTTCTAAGATCTGACAGAGGAGGGGAGGCACTTGGGCAATTCCAGTGACAGCGCAGTCTGCAAAGAATTGGATTATTTTTCTGTGCTGAATCAAAGTTCCCTTAAAATTGGCTAAATGTGGTGCTCTCACTTGCTGTCTGCAAATTCCCCATTCCAGCCTTTGATGAAAATCAGAAGTCTTGATGCCAATTAGAACTGCAAACTTTACATAAATCCAATTTAGGTAAATTTCTCCTAATTAGACTTAATCTTCTTTGTCATCTCATCCACATCAATTAGGAATCATGAATCTGAGCCTCCCTCTTCAGGTTCTTTAAACTTTCTATATTTAGCATTGGGTAGAAGTTGAATAAATAGTTGTTAAGTGAAAAACTAAATAAAAGAATGAGAGATCTGGTTTTTCTCAACCTTCGGAGGTTGTTAAATGGAGACAGAATACGTTTTATGAGTCCATTGATTCAAGGTGCAAATCCTCGTTCTGCTATTTGCTAAGCTGCATTTTCTTGAGATCTCTTTCTTGGGGTGGGGGGGGGGCAGCCCAGGGGGATCTGTGTTCATTTCCTTCTGCTATTGAGACAAAGCACCACAAATCTACGGCCTCAAAACTGCACGGGTCTATTACATAGCAATTCATGAGGTCTTGAGTCCAGAGTGGGCTAAATTCAAAATATCAGCAGGTCTGTGTTCCTTTAAAAAACTCTCTCATCCGCAAAGTTCCTTTTGCTATGTAAGGAAACAAACTCAGAAAGTCCTCTGTGGACTTCAGGGGTAGGAGGTGGCATTCCCAGGCTTGCATAGTAATTTTGCAGTCAGAGATGAAACTTCACAGATCTATAGAAGGATGAAAGGAACCACTCTCCTCTCCCTCTGTAGGATATCACCCATAATGTACACAACATCAGCCATTCCTCTTTTCAGTTTTAGGTTATGGTAAGGTGGGGAGACTCTCTGGTCTTTCCACTGTGCAGGCGCTATACCTGAGAACTCCCTAGTTCGTGGAGGACAGTGTCAACTGTACCTTAGCCAGCTGAGTGTTCACAAGAAGTCCTCAAAAGATTTAAAGTAAATGCATATCATTTTTTTAAAAAGCTACAAAAAAATGTACAAAAGCAAGTGTATCTTTGAATTCTATTTTCTGTGAGCCTTCTGATATGTCCTTATATTTCGATTCGTGCGTACCTAGAAATCTTTCTGTAACGGTGACCTTGAACTGCTGCAGATCCAGCACCTATTGAGTCTCGTTTGGGAGACATGCTCTACACAGAGATCTGCCCATCTGGGAGAGTTACCCCACCCACACCTTTACACTCTGCCCAGACACGAAGTCAGGACACAACATTTTAACTACAGAATATTTTCTCTCCCTAACTTTTGCCTTATGCAGATCTATCAGCTGTTACCAGGATCACATCATCAGCAAAGACTGAATGGAAATAGTCATATTGAAAGTAGCATTTATGTTGAGCATGCTCATTGTGTTTCAGCCTATGTTTATTATGAGAATCCACAGACCACAGAGAAATATTCCCCCAATGTCAAAAGGCAGCAATAATTAGAATTTTTCCTCATAGCTGCTTCACTTCTATCAAATAAACACTGGCTCATATATATGCTCATTTCCCAGTTTCCACTCATCATGTGGAAACTGAAGGAACTGTTGCCCATCTGGATGGGGCCTTACATCCCCTGTATTAACTTGTGCATTAACTTGTTTTTCTAACTCCACTGTTCCTTATTCCTAGTTTCTCCGCCCATTTTACATTTTAGTCATCTATGTTTAAGGGATCTTTAAACCCAGATTAAGGCATAGAATTTCTTGTTATTTCCTGAGACTTCTGTTGTTGTTGTTGTTGTTCAGACACAGGCCCATGAAACCAAACATCTTTGTTCCAGGAACAAACTCAAGTGAAAAAAAAAAAAAAACCAAACTTGAGATATCCTCAGATGGTGCCAATGTATACACACCAACTCTGGGAGGAAGTGAGTCCAACATCCTTGGCAAGACTGGAGTGGTGGTGTTCTTGTAAAACAAGTCTCTTACACTGCGTATGCTGAGCACACATGGATCATAAATGCCAGCATTCGAAACAGCTTGTTTGCTATCAGCAGAGCACTGCGAACAAAATCCACTCCTTTGCTGAGGAATGTTTAGCTTTTATTATATCTTTATGCATGGTCAAAAGACATTAGCAGATTTGCTACAGTGATTGAAGATATTCTTCCGAAGGCACTGTTTAATGTGCGTGACTTGGGTTGTGAGCTAGTTTTCTTGGAAAGGAGAGAAAAAAAGCAGATTTGTACTTTATACTGTGTGGGATTTTGATAGTGGAAAGCCAAGACTTTAAAAAGCCTCACTGTTAACAGGCTTCTAGTTTAATTATCTTGATATGTAGCAAATCATCAGAGTGAATCTGGCTTGTCAGTACCTTCTCTTGTTAATCTCTACATCTGTGAGACTAAAGCATGGCACGTTCTAATGATCATTCTGAGTTGGCAATGGCCGCTAGCTACTCTCAGCAAAACTGGGGTTCCATCCTAACCACAGCAACAAGCCGACAGCATGAAATAGGAGCTGAATGAATGGCCCAAAGATGAGAGACATCTAAAGAAGAGATTTCCATCACTGTTAATGTCCAGAGCAGAAATTCCTATTTTGATCATCTGCCCTCTTGCCAAAAATACACCAGAGAGAAGACACACAAAGAATACCCAAGGACAAGCAGTCTTCTAAAAGTTCCCAGGTTTCTGTATGTAAACCATCCTTTGCAGCCTATGTTGATTTTTTTTTTCTAGAATCACCTTGTGGATTCCAAAGTCTCGGAACTTTCAAGTCCCACACAAACTGACATAGTATTTGCATATCATCTACACACATCATCTTGAAAACTTTAAATCATTTTTAGATTATGTAGAATATCTAACAGAATGCATGCAACTGCTATGTGAATAAGCAGTCTACTATATATATAGTATATATATATATACATATATATATATACGGAAATAATGACAAGAAAAGGTCTGCATCTTCAGGACTGATGCAATTTATGCTAACATTTTTGATTCATGGTTGGTTGGATTGATGGATGAGAATGCCACAAATATGAGGGTAACTGTCATTCCCAGTGTGCTGGCACACTCTCTGTCCACCTTTCTCCTACTCAGGAAAATGCATTCCTACCAGAATCATCTCAAATGCTCTTCAAGGTACCAAACAAGTAAGCCATCCACCTGCTTCGGCATCTCACATCCTCTGACTTGTGTGTGCCCTGTGAGGCACCTCATGGTATCTGACACACGACATGATCAGGGTACTGAGATGGAGAGTGCTCCTCCACAGAAGCTATCTCTGAACACCCCCCTCCCACCCGCCTTGCCCTCAATACAATCATGTAGATGGGCTCCACCAAAATCACATGGATCATCTCTACTCATGGGAATTGCCCATGTCATCGGAATATCACTCCAGTCCCACTAGCATGACTTCAAGCAAGCAGAGTCACAAGCCACCAACTTACCACGCCACCACCAGCTGAGTGCACGAGCACCGACATCCCTTCCCGGAGGTTGGCAATTTCAAAGAGCATCACGTAGGCTGTGACGAAGTTCATGGGGAACGCAGCGGCCTCAGAGAAGCTCATGTCATCTGGGATCTTGTAGACAAATTCCACCGGTGTGCAGACCACCTCGGCCCAGGCATTGTAATTGACAAATGCCATGACACGGTCCCCAATCTGGGCATGGGGAAATGCAGGGTTAGTGGAGGCAGTTTCAGGACAGAGTCTTGAGGAGGGGCTAAAATCATTGGGAGCTGTCCATGGTACAAAATATCATTATTCCTAACATATGCATGGGGTCAGTCAAAACTCTTCGCATTCCAGTCTTTTATGATTCAATAAAATAAATTACATTACAACGTAAGTTTTCAGCAGATTTCAAATTTTTACGCAAGGCTCATATGTCATGGAACTGATTTGATGAGCCACTGACAACTCTGTTTCCTGCCCATATGTTTTCACCACTATTCCCTCCTCCCAGAAGCAGAGATGTCTGCTGGAGGATCCATTCCCCTCTCAAAACTCCCGGAGTCTTTTATGCAATGGCAAGACAATTGGATAGTATGCATAGACCTAATGAAGATAGGAAATCTGCATCATATGTCAGTTACGCTCACACAACAGTACAGGAAATTGTCCTTCTTAGATACAGGAAGAGACCAGAGCTAAGAAAGTTTCCTGTCTAAGCCTGACAGGTTGAAGCCTGTCTGGACTCATATATCTTCCCATGATGACACAACGATTCTCTGCCCAGACTGTTTATGCTACCTTTTCCTGGCCTCAGTTTCTGGGTGCTGAGGGTATAACTGCAAATGGAGTGTGACTCATACTTTGTAATCGCTCATGATGCCTGGAAATTTCATGTGGTGAGCACTGTGAGTAACAAGGCTCAGAAGGTGAGGCCATTTGGAAGTGGTATTTTTGTACAGACTGAAAACGTAATGGTGACGTTTCAGATGCTGGTCTGGTGACAACAGCAATCCATTTTTGTGCAGGGAAACCTGAGCTTGGGGGAAGCGTGTGACAGCAGCTTGGAGAGGAGACCAATAGAGCCCTGGCCACTTCTCTATGCTTGGAAACGGAGCTATCACAGCTTCAGCTTGGCTAGCACAGTGTTTCCAGGGTCAGGGGATAAAGTGGCAGAAAAAAAAAAAACAACCACTCCTGACACCACTTGGTCTGGGTGATGAATTCAGGTAGATGGGATCATTGAGGACCTCAGCAACAGGGTTCCGAGTGACCTGATTAACTCTGTTCCAGCTGTTGGTGCATCCTTTTAGGAGGCTGGGTTAGCCTGACACCAAATACACCTGAAGACACAGGGCAAATTGCTCTGCCCCAGAACATCTTTCATGTTGCCTTGCTGGCAACGGGGGCAATACAAAACCTGGGGAAAGCCACAACCAGCATGACAGTCAACTGTCTGGGCTTGGAGGCTTTTCTGACAGTGTCCTCAACTCTCCTTGCCTCATATTTGGGAGGCACAGGCAGTTCTTCCCCTTCCCTGAATGCTCTGGAGGCTCTAGCATGGGAGAAGTCTTGCCTAGATTTTTCTGCATATTTTCTGTGACTCTGTGTTTCACCTAACATCTTCTGTCCCTTCTTCAAAACCCCTACATGATTCTTGACTGCTTGGGCATTCAAAGAGAGGTTTTCTATCTTGTTAGTAGTGGCCACAGCCTATCACAGGAAAAGACAATTAAGAATAAAACATCAAAGACACAGAGGATGAAGCTCCTGCTTGTGACACCAGCATCCTGTAACAGAGTGCTGGTTTGAGTTCAGGCTGCTCCACTTCTGATCCAGCTTCTTGCTTATGCTCCTGGGAAAGTGATAGATCTTTGGCACAAATACCTGGATTAAGCCACTCATGTGAGAGACCTGGATGAAGCTCCTAGCTTCTAGTTTCAGCCTGGTCCAACCCCTCACTGTTGAAGGCATTTTGGTGACTGAATCATCAGATGAATATCTTTTGCTCTCTGCCTTACCCATTCTCTCTCCCTTTCAAATAATAAATTGTCTTTTGGGAAAGGACAAACATCATCCAGGAATAATAACATGCCAGCAGGCATGAAGGTTTATACGGTGTAAAACAAGAAGTGAAGGCTCAGCCTCTGTGCCTGGCAAGTCACAGCTCCTGAGCCTCCCCAGTGACAATCTCAGGAAACCAACAGGCAAAGCTGTGGAGCTACATCAGAGCGTTCTTTCCTTACACTCTTCCATCTTTCATAACTGTGTGTTCTTCTGGATTTTAGGCAGATTCTACAGCATCACTGGCTCTTCCAGCAGCAGCTCAGCCAAGGCCACGTGAGTGTTCTTATTGTTGTTTTTTGTATAGGGAGAAATGCTGTACCTCCTGGCTGTAGGTGAAAATTCAGTCTGACCATTTTGGGAAGCCTACCTCACCCCCCGACAAACAGTGAACAAAGTGGTTGCAGAACCCTCATTTGGATTCTCTTCTAGTTCTACTCCTCATAGCAGAGTGACCACACACAGGGAGCTGAACCTGTGCAGTGGGACTGAATCTCCCCACCTCCCCCAGGGTTCATCAGGAGGGCTGAGGGACGCAGTATGCGTGAATTTGGCACTAGCATCACATCAAAACGACCGGTCCAACTTGGGAAGTGTTCCTTCCCTTTCATGTTGTTCTATCACATGACTCATTTATTTTCTTCAAAGAATTTGCCCTTTCCATGTCACCTCATTCATTCATTCACATGGCACAGCTTTCCTGCCCACTCCTTACTACACATTCATACTCAGCCTGTGGGACCCCCAATGCCTAGAGCAGAGCAGGTCCTCCTTCAACCCTGGCTGAATGAATGAATGAGTGAACGAAGACACTTGGGATACTATTAAGGGCAAAAAGAGGTCACAGGAGTCGGATTCCCTTTCAGATTTGAGAATCAAATATCAGCTTATGTGTTTCTTTGTTTTTCTTAAGAGGGATTTCTCTAGTGCTCTTGACAACATGGTAAAAACTACAGATCGAGTCTCAGAATACAAAACAAAGCCAAAATATCTTCAAGTCTACACAGCCTTGTGCATTCTTCCCAATGCCAAAGCATTTCATTATTCCTTGAAACCCACCTACAAAAACCTGCCATGTGGCCAGAAAAGCCAGGTTCTTTCTGCTTTCTCTCAAGCATAATCTCTTATGTCCCAACACACACCAAGGAGCATTTGTGTCAAAGGTTATCTTAGAGGTACAACTTCTCATTCAGCCTCTCTTCCTTACACATGAGGGGAAACTGAGGCATAGGCATGCTAAGTCTCTGCTGAAAGCTGGGCCAATCATTCAATCCGCTCTCGTTTGTTTTCCACCTCCCTAACGGATCCCTTGCCAGTTGAGCATGCTGTAGTATTTGTGCCAAGACTTAGCATTGGATCATTACCACAGAGGATGTGGAGCTTGGTGCATCAGAGAGCCATGCAGATCTAATGTGGGAGCCTGAATGGTGCAGATAGGAGAGGATGCCGCCGGGCGTGATGGACAAGTATTATGTGGCAGGCATTTTCTGAAGGTGTCACATGTTTGAGCCCATCTAATCTTTACAAAACCATTACAAAAGCATGTCTGGATGGTATTTTCTTTTTATCAGGAGTCTACCAAGGCAGACATGAAGCAAAATAGAAAAACAAGGATGATTTTCCCTTCAAAATGCTAAGCATTCTTTGCATAGCATAATATTATTAAAAGAATATAAAGAAGTAACTTCACACTAAAAATTTGTACAAGCTGCCAAGTTGGATTGTGTCGTTAGTTGGACTGGATCATACTCTTCATTCTGTTATTTGATATAATAGTTGCTTTTATTAAAGCCTTCACAGGCAATATTCAAATTGCTGTGGTCCAAGTAAGTTCTCAACAAATTCATGGCTTCCATACATGAGTGGTTTGATTTATAGCTATTCTGTGTGATGATTGAGTCCACTGTCTTATATTCCTTGAATCTTAGCATTTCTCTTCTACTCCTCCCTGACAACAACAACAACACCTCTTCTGTGATGAGTTCTGTAATGTTCCAAGTCAGAGATGAAGGATCACAAATTTTACATTTAAATTGAGATTAAAAATAGTTTAGATCACATGCCTATGTAGGTCCTGTAGGTAAAAAAGCACCAGGACGAGGATTTAAACCCAGGCAGCCTCACTCAGACACAGAAGATTGGTTCATCACACCCAGAGTAAGTAAATCGATGTATGGGTATAAACAGAGCAGCCAATGAAATCTGGCCATGTGAACTGAACTCCTTAGGTCTTGGGTTCCTCAGCTATGAAACGGATATAGTATTAGTGAGGAGTCTGACATGTGCACGCAATGCACCCCATGGAGCTTGGACGATGAGGAAAGAGCAACACCCATCAGCTCTTATAAACAGCAGATTGCTTCTTGGCCTAATTCATGCTTTAACTATCAAAAGCTTAACACAGAATAGTTCCATTTCCTGAAGCAGAGGAAAAAGCTTTGTGATTAAAAAAAAAAATCAAGGGATTAAAAAAGAGCTGTCCCATCGACAATGAGGGACTAAGTCCTGGAGGGCTGAGCCCAAGTGATACATATCTGAAAATCATCTTTAATGCAAGAGAATAAACATGGCCAGACAGTGACATCTCTTTTCTACAGAATCATGAAAATCTAAAGACATATAGATGCAATACTGTGGAGTAGCTATTGGCCTTAAGTATCCATACTGAGTATAATTTCATTGACAGTGGTGGCACAGCCATCACAGCAGGGCAGACCACTCCTGACTGTCTCGTTCAATTTTTATCCTCCATTTCCATTTCATAATCAAAATGGCAAATGGTAGCCAAGCCATGGGACTGGCCCCAGCTTCAGTCTAGAGGCAGACACCTGTAATATGTATCCTGTTCACATCATTACTTGGTTCTGCTAAGAAAAAGAAATCGGTCCTGAATGAATGAGCCCAAATTACTCCTTTACTACTGGGCCTCTGGCAAAAACATTTCAATTCCCTTGCAGTTGATCAAACCGGAAAAGCTATTCAGTGTGCTGCTCATGAAACTTCATCTCCAACATGATTGAAAATTTGAAGTCAAAATTATAGGAAGAATATTAGTATTGGTTTTATCCCTTATTACACCCTGACTGCAAATGTGTAGGTGGCTTCTTTTATTTGCTCATGCAGCTGCAAATCGTTGGAAAGGAAGGGTTTGAAGGGTGGATTGACAGTAACCTGCAGGGCTAACCAGCAGAAGAGAAATCAAATTGAAAGAAAAATATACCTACTCAGTATAGGATGATCTCCTTCTAAACCAACATCAACAACATCCCTGCTTACTGCTGTATTCCACATATAAGACTATCTATTCATTGCTCAGAGTTAAAGAGTGAGTAGTATAATCTTTTATTTGGGGGCCATGTGCAGGTATGAAGGGCAGACATTCTTATCAACTTCCAGAGAGAGATAAAGAGAGACACAGAGAGATGGTGTGTGACTCGTTAGGTTTCCTACCTGAGGACAGAAAATGCAAATATAAAGGGAAAGAAAGAGCTAGTTTACTTCTTCTTTCTCAACATTTTTCTGCAGTACTAGCTGCAGACCATTCACCAAAAGCAATGATAGGCGGAATAAGATCTGCAAACAGTCATAGTGAATTTGGAGCCTATCAATATTTCCAGAGCACATGGAGGCCTAGACACATTGAGTTCAAGAAGCAGGCCCCAGTTCAATACCAGGGGCACTGTGGCATCACGGTACACAGGATTCTTCTTGAGTATTCCTTTCCTCCATTTAATATTGCAGCATGTATTGTTTGGGGTGCAGATTGGGAGCAGATATAAAGATTGTAGGAAGAGTACAAAGGCTAATGTGACAGGAGTCCAGGTTCTACTGCTAACTATGTTTCTGAACTCACAGAAAACTGAATACCTCTGAACATCATTTGCATGGTTATGGCGAGGCTGAGTAATGCTAATTTCTGCATGGTGGTTGACGGCAGGTCCAAAGCTAGACACTCTTATTCTCTAGCTGTGTAACACGAGTAAGGGGGAATGCCAGGATGTGCCCATTTCTTTTCATCAGATTCTTATCAGAGACAGCATCATGAGAAAGGCATGAGACTTTCTGGCAAGTCCTAGCATCACAAACTTTATTAGTAGCGCCAAATAACAAGAGAAAGAATAATACAGGACCTAGGTTATTTCAAACACATTTTTGCATAACCAATTGCTATCTTAATGGATTCCTATTGAACATGACTTTTTAAGTCAGAGTCAGAACATTACCTCGTATCCTTTCACGCTGTCCCCCAAACCTTCAACAATCCCAGAACACTCAAATCCTGGCACGAGGGGAGTCTTGGGAGGGTTGTCAATATTCCCTTGTCGCACCATCAAGTCAATGAAGTTTAAACCACTGTGAAGAGAAAATATAAAACAGAAATTGAAAATGTAATTTTAAAAAATAGCTGCACACTGAATTTTCTTCCCTTCCCATTCCTTTCTCTCCTCTCTCCTTCCTTTCCTCCTTTTCCCTTTTAATAGGGTCTGTAATAATAACGCCACTTAGCTAAATGTCACTATAAAGCAAAATTCAATTATCTCTGCAGATAAGGAATATTTTTCTGGCAATGAAAATAGCAGTTTCTGAGTTTACACTTGAATTCAGGGTGTAAGTCCCTTCGCCCTTTCTTGGAAACAGTTGACTCCTATTTTAAAAATACATTTTGATGAGCCTGTATATTAGACATTCTAGCACTTATCAAGGGTGAAAAATAAACTAGGAAGTGGTTACAAGCAGCCAGATACAATGGCCACCAGCCACTGTATGGCAACGAGAACGGAGTCCTAAATTAGAAAGTCCCAGAAGACACAATCATGACTTCCCAATGAACTAGCAACCTTAGACCTGCCTTGTGTACTGACAGCAGTGAGCAGAAAGCATGAAGTGTCTACAGAGTCTTCCCTGGAGAAGGCACTCAAAGAAGAGCCAGCAAAGGCATGGCCCAATAAACACGGGGATATTGAAGCGTTTGTTTCCAAAACCTCATACTCGTGTTTTCCAGTTACACGTTATTTTTAAAATATGGAAATTATCATTGACATTTGTCAAAGTCATCTGCAAGAAAAGTCACCTGCTTGATTTCAGTGATGCTACTAATACTCTAGTTTTATGTTTTTAGAACTACCCTTGGGCATTGCAACTAACAACTCCCTCCTAATCACATGGGAAAATGCATCTCTTACACTTTTCATTTACTTCCTGACTTACTTACTTATTTATTTAATTGGAAAGTCAGATATATACAGAGAGGGGTAGAAACAGAGAGGAAAATCTTTCTTCTGTTGATTCACGCCCCAAATGGCTGCAACAGCTGGCGCTGCGCCGATCCGAAGCTAGGAGGCAAGAGCCTCTTCCAGGTCTCCCATGTGGGTGCAAAGTCCCAAGGCTTTGGGCCATGCTTAACTGCTTTCCCAGTCTACAAGCAGGGAGCTGGATGGGGAGAGGGGCTACCAGGATTCGAATTGGCACCCATATGGGATCCTGGCACATTCAAGGCAAGGACTTCAGCCACTAGGCTACTGTGTTCGGCCCAAAAATGCATTTTTTTAAACATGCGTGTTTTCCAAAACATGTACTGCTGTCTTCACAAGCTGTCACCTAAGGCAGACTCAGGTTAGAGAAACCAAACTCCTGAGGCTGACCCACGGTCCATCAGCATCTGGCCATAGCATCTTTTCCAAGATGACTTGAGGTCATTCTTAAGCACATCTTACCTACCTTTCTTGGCCTCTTTTGAGCCAAGCAGGAGTCTTAACTCCACTGACATCCTCTGTGGAATGAGTGCAGGTGAGCAGGGGGCAGCCCTTAAACCACCTGCTCAATGCCTTCCTTAGGCCCAAGTTGGTGCATACTGATGCACTCACTCCCTGATGGCAGTGGTAACCTCGTCTCTTTGCTTCCAGAATATTTAACTTTCGGGGTGCCAAAATAATAGGGTAGATATTCAAGTAACAGCTAGAAAAAAGAACAGTTACACATTTCCTAAAAATAAAATACCATACTTCCAGTTTCAGCAGTTAGGGATTTTTCAAAAACATATGCTACTAAATCCTTTGGAAAGGTGGCCAACAAATGAATATAATTTCTGAAACATACATGTGGACTCCCAGAAACCTAATTTTGATGTTTAATAGTTAATTGGGTCATTTATTAACCAAAACATTCCCCTGATAACATAGCCAATTTCCTAAAATCTTGGAGAGAACTGATCAAAGCCAAATTGCACCACTTGTGCTTACGTAACCTCTGTGCCTCAAGCTCCCCACCTGGAAGGTGGCATGATCATAGCACCTACTCATAGGGTTATTTTGGAAAGTAATAAGGAAAGCACTTCTTAAGAATGGTGTGAGGTATCTAGTATGTATTTAAGAGCTATTTGCTTTTAAATTCTAGTTAAGAAGGCAGAAATGTGTTTTCAAAGATTTCCATTAAAGAAGGTTAAAAATAGTCTCAGAGCTGACATAGGAAAACTCTACCTGTCTGTAAACTTAACTTCTTGTAAAATGGTCCATTTTCTTACACTGTCAAATAAATAAAGCATCCACGCATAACAATACCAACACTCCACACCAAGCACTCCCTCTCATTTCGTGCGTATTATAACTCACTGGGTTTTCCTCAGTGTGAAAAATTGTGATTTCCCAATCCTCTGATGGAGAAATGCCAGAAGCAATTACTTGATGTTCTGCAAACATGGCAGGCCCTGGAGAGGGCTTCCTTCTAGACACATATTACGCTGCTCGATAAGGCAGCCTTTCAGTCATCTTGCAGCAGGAACTGTGCCTGATGATTGTGAGCTGAGCGCCAACTACTTAAGTCTCAACGAGAAGGACTAAAACTGACTTCATAAAAAAAAAAAAAAAAACACTCACATCCTAGGTCCTCCGTAAGGCAGTCATGGATTCTGTCAGGTCATCAACAATCCTACCTCATTACAGAAAGCAGGTAGATCCAGAGAGAAAATAGATTGTTGATTTCAACACAAAGAAGATGAACAATTGTCTTTGGGCCTGTTTCACGGTGCCTGACTGCATCCTTCATTTTGATGTCCATACTTAGGCATTGTTGGCTGGCTACTGCGCCAAGTACTTTACTTTTGCTAGTAAAGACCCAGTGATGTTCCTATGAGGCATAACCCATCAATCACATTCATTTTTCAGATGAAGACACTGAGACTGGGGGGAAATTAAGCAGTGGGTTTAATGTAACATCTTAAAAAAATGTCAAAGTTGGGATTTTAATTTAAGCCAAGTCTAATATTCGAACCCTTCCCCAACATATTGCACCACCTCTTAATGAGACCTGCTCTTCCCATCAGCTGTGCTGAAAGTCATGCTCAAAGGCCATATTCCGAACTTTCCATCTCTCTTCTCCCTTGTCAACAGCTGATTGGCCAATCCTGAGCCCAGTGTTAAGGGAAGAGTCAACCATGATCTAGGAATGAAACAGATGGCCTCAGAAACGTGCAGTAGGTGAAGAATTTTAGCAACAGGAAGCATGTCAGAAGACAGAACTGAGCTGGGCTGACCTGAGTGAAATTTGTAGACAGTTCTTTTGCTATTTTTCTTAAACTCCCACAGCATCACACTTACAGTTGCTCTAAAAGTGCCAATGTAACTGGGTTGTTCTGTTTTTGTTTTTTATATTTCTTACCTTTGCATAGCATGGCAGAGGTTACAGTGTGCTTCCATACAAATCTCACTTGTGCCAATCCCAGAAAAACATTTAATATCAATATCATTATTCCCATTAAATACACATGATATTATGACTCACATAATCCAACTGACTTGCCAAAGACAACACAATCAGTATATGACAAAGCTGAGACTTGAGCCCAATCCATGACATCATGAGATGTCAAATGCAGGCGCATCAAATGTTGCTAAAGCCAATCATTGCAAGATTGGTCAAGACACTGAAACACATATATAAAAGACATATAACATATACATGTAAAGCATGTGTATGTGTGTGTGTATGTACATTTCCATAAAGGAAATGGAGGTAGATGTTTGAGTCTTCAGTCTGTGCACTTCCAGCAGTTGGCTATGTACCTTGCTGAATCTCTAAGCCAGGAGCTCATGCTCTGTTCACATGAGCTATGCTGAAAGTATTATCTAAAATCAGAGTTGAAGTAGATATGGAGAAACGCTTGTTGGTCTTGAGAAAATACAAAGACTGGAATGCTTTGCTTCTATGTGGAAGCTGAAAGTTAGCCTAGCTCCCTGGTATCTGTACTTTCTTTCTTGCCATCTATTAAGTTATGAATGACACTCTATAAAGTCTCATGAGAGATGTTTGGCTGTCTTCATTTCATATTCTACCAAAGTCAGCAAACTTTGCTCTCCTGATGATGATGTTACATGCTAAGTATTAAAGAAAGAAGCATTTTAATCTCCATCCTGTGTGAAAGGAAAAACACAGCAGGTGACAGAAGTGGGATTCCGGGCCCTTGTTATATATGCCTTGCATACCTGAGCTTTCCACCACAAGGGTGTCATTCTGCTGTCTAGAAACCATGCCAGCCTGCTGGGTATTCTTGTCCCAGTTTGTTATCTGGATATGTTAGCTTTTGATATGCTAACAATGAAGCCACAAATGATTTCTTAAAAGATATCACTAAGTGGATGGGAAAACAATAACCATGACTACACCTGATTAATTTTCCAATTTGAGATGAAAATTGGCCCAAAGGAGTTCCACAAAGAAAGGAGCAGCCATGGAGAAAGTCCGTTGGTTTTATTCTTCGACTGAAAGGTCTGCTCATCTGAAAGCATTTTCGGCCCCTTCCCATCTTGTCCTTCCTCAGCTTGTCAGTATCCTCAGCACTGACCATTGAAATACAAACATCGCTAATCCATCAGAAAAAGGACAAGGTGAATGAAAAACTCCCTCTAGGATCCAGTGGGTTAAGCCACCACCTGTGACAACACTAGCATGTTAGACGGGTGAGAGTTCAAGACTTGGCTGTTCCATGTCCAATCCAGCTCCCTGCTAATGTGCTTAGGAAAGCAGCAGAAGATGGCCCAAAAGCTTGGGACCCTGCACCCTCGTGGGAGACCCAAAAGAAGCCCCCAGCTTTTGTCTTCAGCCTGGCACAGGCCAGGCCATTGCAGCTTTTTGGGGAGTGAAACAGTGGATACATCTCTCTCTCTCTCTCTCTCTCTCTTCCGCCCCCCCCCCCGCTCCCTCCCTCCCATTCTCTCTCTGTATATAACTTTGCCTTTATAGTGTTACTAAACAAGTTATTTGTTATATATTCATTTTTGCTTCTTTATGAAGAAAAACATTCCTCCTCCAATCTCATCACAGGGATTGGTTATATAAATCTTATAAGTCCAGCACACTAT